GCAAAATCAAAAATTGTTACATAAATAACTTGAGTCAGACAAAAGTATTACTAAATAAAATATATACGAAAATTAACAAATTAAACTCAGCCATTGCTTTTCAACCATGCTTCAACAGAATGATTAAAAAAAAACTCATGGAACAGGCCTGCACAAAAATGATAGTACCCTTAACTTAATATTTTGTTGTGCAACCTTTTGAGGCAATCATTACCATCAAATAATTCCTGTAATTCTCAGTTAGACTTGAGCTCCTCCCAGCAGGTACTTTCACTGTTCATGAGTAAACTGCTCTACTTGTGTCAGGTTTGAAAGGTTTCTTTTTCCAGACATCATTGTTTCAGCTTCTTCCTAAGATGCTCTAAAGGATTTACCTCATGGCTCAAAGAAGACCGTTTCAGATAGTTCAATGAGTTTTTTAGCTGTGTGTTTTGGGTCATTATCATGTTGAAGACTCATGACCTACTACTGAGACCAAGCTTTCTGACACCAGGCAGCACATTTCTCTCTAGAATCCTTGATAGTCTTTAGATTTAATTGAACCCTACAGAGGTTCAGACACCATGTGCCAGATGAAGCAATGCAGCCTCAGAGCGTTACAGAGCCTCTTCCATGTTTCGGCACAGACAGTCTTCTTTTCTTTATACACCTAATTTTTACGTTTGTGAACATAGAGCTGATATGGCAGACACTTCCATTTTTGTCTCATCAGTCTTTAGGGCATTCTGCCAGAAGCTTTGTGGCTTGTCAACAAGTTCATCAAATTTCAATCTGGCTTTTTTATGATTTGCTTTCAGCAGTGGTGTTCTTCTTGGTCATTTCCCATTAAGTCCACTTTGGCTTAAAAAACAAATTACTGGTGCAATCTGACAATGATGTTCCTTGAGCCTATAATGGACCTTTAATGTCTTTAGTTTTTATGGACTAATTTGTCACCATTCATACAATCCATTTTTTTTTATTTATCATCAATTTTTCTACTGCTACCACATCCAGGGAGGTTACCTACAGTCCCATGGATCTTAAACGTCTGAATAACGTGTGCAACTGTAGTCAGTGATACATTAAGCTGCTTAGAGTCTATATTTTCTTCCTAATCTCCTGAAACAACTCTTTTCATTGCTTCCTTTAGTCCTTGTTGAGTGTGATACACACCATGTCACCAAATAGCACAGTTACTATATACCTATATACACTAGTAGCCATTCAAGATTTCCCCACTTTCCTTGATGGGCCCTTGGCTGGTCACCTACAATTCCTTTTTAAACATCAATCTTTGTACTAAAATATTCTGTCATGATTTGTGGACATTAAAGCTACAGTGTGTAATAATTACAGGGATATACAGTCAGAAATGTAATATATTATACATAATTATGTTATTTATCATCATCTACGAGCTCAGCCTCTCAACCTTAATATTTGCGTTGCCTTAGAATTCGTTATTTATAATTACATAGGAGCGGGTCTCGCAGCCATGGAGGCAGACATCTTTGCGCTACGGCAGCGCAGAGCCAACAAACTAGCGATTGCAAAGCAAAGCAGCTCACCAAAACGTCACAACGATGTAGAAAAAATAACGGGTATATTTATTATCTTAAGTTTACATGAAATCAATACCCCACACAGACTAATGAAATACTATCTGTAAAATTATCTATGTAAACAAACCTCATCACTTGAGAAGGTAGGTGATGCGGACGTCGTGGAAGACATTTTGTCCCGTAACGCTCGCCTTACTGTTGGAGGTTAGAAGCGGTGGGGGGGGAGATGTTCATGTTGCTGCGGTCTGCAGTCTGGACGTTAGATGTCGCTGATATTACACAATGTAGCTTTAAGATCTAAAGAGAAGCTTCATCTTTTTTGCTGGGAGTTGCAGGGAAGTGGGCTGCTTTGGCTGGCTTTTGAATGGGAAGGGCCATTTTGCATGGCCCACAAGCTGATAACAAGATTGTAGACCTGTGATGATAATTAATGGACACACCTAAATTTAACACGCCCCTTAGGTCACATTATTTTCAGTCTTTTCTTGGTGGTACCATCAATTTTATCCAGGCCTGTTCCATTAGATTTTTTTAAATATATATTCCATTGAAAAGATTTACATTGAAAATCTTGATATGACTTTTTATTTTGCTTTTGATAACTTGATGAGACAGTTTGGCTTCCAAATATTATGCTGATGTATTTCCTGACTTATTATAATAATTGAAACACATTGCTTGTGTTTAATGATCTCTGAAGGAACCAAGAGCAGAAGCAGGCTGTGAAAATGGAAAACTTTAACAAATATAAAAAGAGCCTGCAGGCTAACCACAGGAAGAATAGGTTAAGGGACAAATACAGCCACACTGTTACCAGGCAGTTTAATGGAGCAGTGGAGGAATCCAGCAATGAATGTCTTTAAATACAGGGCATTTTATGGAGCAGCTGAGGTAAATGGAAAGCAGGTAGTCTGAGAGAAGAACAAGGACTAAATATCATGGAAGAGGATCTAAACCATACAGACACACACACAAAAAAACTATCAAGCCAAAGTGTAAAACAGAACCTACAGAAATTATTTTAAATGCACAAAGAACAGAACACAAGAATAAGCATGTAAAACTAAATTTAAAATAATCAAACTAATATGGCAACACGTAAGCGAACATAAGGACAGAGAAATAATTACAACAGAGACTCAGAAAACCCAAAAGCTTAACGATCATACCAAATCCCCAGTTAAATAGCCTGGGTTTTGTTTTCTAAAATAATGTTTAATGTATTCTGAGGAAAATCAGCTGAAAAAACCCCAACTAATATAATGGAGGGAAAATGTTAAACTCGAAAAAGCAGGAATATCTTTTTTCCATGAGTACTCATTTGCTTGAAGTAATTCTATTTAAGCGGCTTTTGATGCAGCTCCAACATTAAGCCTTTTAAGTTGTTTAGGACTAATACTTGACGACTGGAGTCATTTAGTAAACACATAATTAGCACAAAATGTTACAAAAGATCCGTATTATCACTTTGTATTAAGTCAGAAGCATAAAAGCATAAACATTTCCAGTATTACCTATTTATGCCATGCCACATTAAAAGCAGTAATATATAGCAGGAGAACATATGGAACCTTGATGTCATGAAAAAAAACTTTTTTGTAGGTTGTTGAGAGTCTGACAGTAACAATAGTGGAGCTGCAGGAACTTGTGAATAAAACTGGTTTTCTCACATGAAACAGCAATATAATATAATAAATGAACTTAATTGATCTTACACTGGAGAAATTTACCTCTGCATTTAACCCATCCCCTTGGGGAGCAGTGGACTTGCACCGTGGGGCGCCCAGCGAGTAGTATGGGGTTAAGGGTCTTGCTCAGACCCAATATCCAGTAATCTCCATTTTTTTCTCCATAATGTACAGCTGCACTATAAGATGTTTTTTCTCTAATGAAGCCAAACTCAAAACACCAGATTTAAAATGGAATATTGTGGTTGCAGTAATGTGATCTGGGAATACATATTTTCATCATTAACAAGGCCCTTTTGTCAAAAGTGATTGCAATCATGTTGTTTCAAAGTAAAGTTTAGCTGGAAAGCTAAAGATGAAGAGAGTGATCTTATCTCTCAGCAGTGCGGTGCAGCCACAAATAGATAAAAATAAGCAAAGAAATTACTTTTGTTTTAGAAACATGATATTGTGATCTGTTGAATTGTAGTTACCACTCTTTTAAAAATAGAAAAACACACAAAAAAAGCATGTGGACTGGATTGTGTTTTTGGACCTACCTTCCACCACTGGTCAAGCCCTCTTAGTGGAAATGTGACAGACCTGTTATAAATGTATGTAGTATTATATCGTATTATTCGTATCCCAAAATCCCGTAAACCAACAGATCTGAAGGATCTCCTTAATGATGAAGTCCCTTTACAAACAGCTAAATTATATATTTGTGTCCTGTATGGCTGATAAAATGGATTTACTACAAATTAACTATCAGCCTGGTAAAGGGATTGAGTACACAAAACTTTTTATCCATGACAACATTTTAAGCACCTCGAGAGCTCCTAGTTGCTGATTTTCATATTTGGTTTTAAAGTGTAAGTACGTTATAATTCAGAAACTGGCCACAAATTTTAATCTCCCGAACAAGCTGTTAATGCTGCTCTTATGTTTTTTAAGGAATAGAGTTCAGGCTGTCCTGGTAAGCAAGAAAATGTCAGATCCCCTAATATTCAATGTCCGATCCCCTCAATGCTGTCAGCTTATCTTTGTAGACTTCCAGCAAAGCAGAAATTAGCATAAATCCAGTGTCATACATGGTAAAGAAGTGCAAATTGTTGATAATTACAAGTGAACTGTTTGACGGCAAGCTTGAAATATGATGTGAACACTAATATCTTTACTGAAAAGGGGCTGCAGATAATTTTTCAAACTCTTCTCATTGATTCTGAAAAAGTAAAAAAAAAAATCCACTGCACTTGGTTTCCAAGATTTGAAGACATTTCGCCACCTCTCCAGGAAGCTTTCTCAATTCAAATGAGACTGAAATTCAAACTTCTCATTGAGTTTCAGTGGGATTCTTCTCTTTTAACTGCAGGTTTGATTGCATGTTTTTGAGAAACGCAAATAATTTGAATATTTTTTATGTATGTTAAACAATCCTTGTTGTTGACCAGAGAGACCTGGCTGATCAAGCAGACCATAGACTTCAATCAGATGCCTTCCTGTCGGCGTTATAATTGGCCAGTGATCAGAACTAATCCCTAATCGAAGTCTTTTATCCCCTTCCACACCATAAAAGCCATTTTTATATAGATATTCACATTTTAGATTCTCTGTATTTTGTAGGATTTGTTTGTGGTGCCAACAATGATGACAACCTACATTAATAATTTGTTGTATTTACACCAAATGCTGTAGATTTATATTGATAAAAAACTATAGGTTTGGATACAGAGATTTTTCTCTCTTTTTTTGTTTGTTTTAAACATCTATACCTTCTTTCTCTTTTCAGATGCAGAAGTCTGCCACAATGATGAAAGTCAGTGGGATTCTGATCAGTTTTTTAATCTCTGCAGGTAGTACAGATTATTCTGTTAAATGTCTTTTCAACATTGAAAAGCATTTTTAATGACTTTGGTTTAAAATTTTTAAATCTTTAATGTGTCTGAAACACTTAATTTAAAAAAAAGTTATATTTACTATTAGTTTATGACCCAAAGTTTTACTGAACAAGAACATGACTGATGAGAATGAGTTAAAATATCCTGATAGCTATTTTCTACTTCTGTTTTATTTGGTATTGCAGCTATTCCATTCCCTCTACAAGGTAAAACTGTTTCTTATTACTATATCACTGATTCTCACCCATGGCGTTTGAGTTATGAGCTGTCCTCTCCCTCTACTTGCAAATGTTTGTTTCCTTTCTCCCTTTCAATCCAGGAGAAGAATCAATAACCCTTTTCCATGGAGAGGATTTCCAAATCGTGCTCCCACCATACGAGGTGGAGCTCACATTCAGGAACTATTCAGACCCTCGGAACCCCTCAGACCCAGTTCTGATGAGGGGGGGGAAAGTGATTAGCAGTAGAGCCAAACACAGCCTGCAACTCAGCCACCTCATCATAGAGGCTGTGGGAGAGGGTGACGAGGGGCTATACATCCTGAAGGATTCAAAGAATCCCAAACACAAAAAGGAAATAAAACTCATAGTCCGAGGTACGGAGCAACTCCACACACTGGGAAATTTAAGGATGCCATTAACAGCCTGCGGACATAGTTAAAGTGCAGCACTTGTTTTGCTGAAAATGATAAATATGAAAAAATTAAAGGTTTAACAAAACAAAGATTAGATCGTTTTCATAAACAGCAAATACAGTTTTCTCAATCCTTATCTCAGTCGCTTGCTGTAGGTGTTACCCCACCTCGAAGCACCACCTTAAAGGGATCCAGGACTAGTTAAACATGTTGGCCTAAATGTATTTTGTATTTATAATTAATTAAAATAATACATCCTTTGTTATATTTTTCACCTACCGGTATTTTTTATCTGCTCAATGCATGTAGGGTTGCCATCTCTCTCTTAAAACAAGAACTGTCACATATATAGAAACAAAATTAACTGTTTCATTTAATCCAGGTTTGATTTATGTTTACACAATGAATTCACACACACAAGAAAAGGTGAAAATTAATCCATAATGGTAAAGTGGAATACAATGCCTGGCCAAGATGTCCACCTTATTTAACTTTGACGGAGTCATCAACCCTAATAGTTCGGACTTACTGAAATGAAACCAACAGTGTAAACAGGAAGGCTAACATCACCCTAGTTGTTTTCTTTTCTTTTCTTCTTCTTTTTTTTTATTATCATGAGGTGTTATACATACAGCTGATAAAACTAGACTATGCTATCTAGAGCTAACACTATTTGCAGGACCTAATGTGGGTGACAGTAATGCATCTTTCAGTCGTTGCCACACATCATTCTAATATATCTGACTTTTTTTTTATGCCAATGATTACTGTGAATATCTTCAGTTAGAGCCACGCTTCCACACAAACAACAGCTTCTTTGTTTGACTTTCCCCCTTCCTACGTTTGGTTCCCCTTATCTTCATTACCCCTTGTAATTTCTACATTATTGTCTGTTTCCTTGCACTCCAGTTAAAACGGAAAAGGTCTAAAATTACTCATTGGTGTTTTGGCTACATGGACCTAGTGCTAGGATAGAATACAATATTGTCAACTTTATTACACTGTCAGAAGAACGATCAATGAAATGAACTCTCTGCATTTAACCCATCCCCTCGGGGAGCAGTGGGCTGCCATTGTGCAGCGCCAACACTCCCCACACAATATCTCCTTTGCTACAGGATGTAGCATATATTTCTACCCAGAATATGTAGCGTAAACAACAATGCAACATCCTTTTGACTATATTTATTCATATTTACTAAAACTAAACAGCTTACAGTATTTTTTTATTGTATTTTGTGTACATAGAAAATATTTCTCATATAAAGTCTATTGTTAGAACTAATCGTGGATCCCCTTAACGAGGGTTTTTAATCCTTGGATGATCCCAGAGGCTACTTTGCTCGGGAGATTAAATTTCCCTTGTAGGGTCTCCCTAGCTTGCCTTTGGATTACCTTAAATAATAAAAGAAGATAATACAACTTTTAGTTTACAAACCAAAAGAAAAAAAGAGTTGCTATTTTGCTGTCAATACTCACTGGCTAATAAAACATATGCAACAATGCCTCACTAAAAAAGAATAGAATACTATACAATAGAAAATTCCTTTATTGTCCCACAATGGGGAAATTGTGGTTTTTACAGCAGCAAAAAGATTATAGGAAAAAAAAGAAGCTGCTGAAACAGACTGCCTGCTCCTCGCTGGTGCCCTCACACTATGAGAAAAGGATCTTCTTTTAGATTGTCCATTTTGATGGCTGACAAAGAGAATGAGCCTCTGTGTCACTCTATTAATACCTAAGGGAAACAAGATGACATCAATTAGTCAAATATTCTCAGAGGCTGTGATGAAAGTACAATTTACCAAATAGTTCTATTACATGTACTCTTCAGGACTTGTTGTGTGTATATATGGCAACAGGGATTGTTCAGATAAATTAATCAACTACATTTGTTTTTTTCCTCCTATAATGTACATAAATTAAAGGCTTTCTCCTATTTTTTTTAGCCTGATATTTTTCTGCAATGAAAGACGAAAGTACTATTATTACTAGTGGTTAACACTAAAGTGGAGGGTGCTGCATTCTTTTCTACTTTAGGGTCAGAATTAATTAAGGACCCAAGGCAAGTGTCAGAATCACTGTGTTGTAATGCCAATCAGTAACCCCCCCCCCACACACACACACACAAACACTGGATCAATCTTAAACTACTATTGGGAGACTTGTGTTACTTTAAACTCAGAGAGGAAGAAGTGTGCATGGAATAAAGCAAGTGTAGTAAAATAATATGTGGGTACAGTGCCACATGGAAGAAGTAATGATAGTTAATAGAGAGGTGTGTTTGTTTTTGGACCGTGACAGCAAAGCTGGAGATGTCAGGCAACAATTATCGACCTTGTTAACCACCATCTCAGCCCTACTTCCGTCCATCCTCTCTGTCTTTCCCTCTTCTTGGTTTGTGTCCGTACCCTATCATTCCCATTACCCTGATATTTCCGGATCAGTGCTTCTTTCTTTTTCTGCATTTGGTTTCTTTTTTCCCCACATCTGCCAAGCTCCTTTTCCTTTCTCTTCCCTCACCAATTTTGCTGTCATTTCTTATTTGGCCTTTGTTAAATCGTCAGGCATTTTCCTGTCAACTCTCATCAAGTTTGCTGTTCTGTTTATTTGTGATTAAAAGGTTCCTCCCCCTCTTTTACCCTTCAGACTGCACCATCGAACAGATCGTCAAATATGGTGATAACTTTAAAATTCCTATTGCGGGGGTGAACACTCCAATCAGTCTGGAGTACAGGCCCAGTGCAGTGGAGGCCAACCAGACATCGAGGTAGAGTCAGCACAATCACACTTCTTTTCTGAACTAATGTTAGCAATGCTTTTTATTCAGCATTGACACACATGCAGTGAGACAGGCCTGAGACACAAGGTTGAGAAAAGTTCACCTCATTCAACTTTTGTCCGTGCAGACCAGCAGTTGTGGTGTTGACTGCCGCGGGGACCTCCATAGACCCCTATCGAGGTCGCATCAGCGTCAGTGAGCGATACATCACCATCAGTGCTGCTACAGTTGCCGACGAAGGCAGCTTCACCGTCAGGGACAGCAAAGGTTTTATCCAAAAGAAAGTATGCCTGAACGTCAAAGGTGAGAACAGCAGATAAAGGCAAAATAGTTATCTCCACCTGTGCATGACTTGCTTTAATGTCTTCATTCAGGATGTTGTTGTTGCTCTAGTTTTATGCCCCCACAGCATGCTTTAATGGCTTCTTAATGGTAGGCTAATGCACTTACAGTCTGTTAACAGAGCCTATGTGAAGTTATCAAATTTCCTTCCTCCTCTGTTGTCTGTTGCAGAACACAATAAGTTTGAGACCCGTTCAACTGGTGAGAGACTGAAGATCAACCTTATTCTGAACAGCTCTTTGGTTCAGCTCTACTACAGCCAAGACCCAAAAGTTCCCGAAAACATTCTGCTGATGGATAAGGGAGAATTCATAATTGTAACTATGAACAAACTCTTAACTTCTTTAAAGATTTGACAAATTAAAAACTGCTGGGTTAAAGAACATTATTTAGGCTATTTTGTAAATCAATCCTGAGTTGATGAACCAAGGCTGAGTAAACAATTCCTTGAACCCAAACACCAGATTACCCAACAGTTTTGTGGGATTACAGGTCTCTTTTCCCAACAGTCATTAGCTTAAAAGACTGGGAGCACCCTGGAAAGCAACAAGCCCATCATATACAGAACACCCACTTACATATTAAAGGGGCTTATTTACGTAATATGAGTGTATTTTGCTTGAGGCATTTAGAAAACCCATGTATGCATAGGGATAGTGTTTAAAATCCTTTGTGAAACCATTGCAAGACTCTGAACCCAGTGTCGTCTGAATGTGAGGCTAAAAGAATAACAACTGGGCCACCATTTATTCCCAGATGAATAACAAGGCTATATAAAAGGGCCAAAGTTTGAAAAACGATAATGCCTTATAAAGATTTGAATCAAATAGAAGTGGAATTTGGATAACAAGTGTAGTAGTTAATAAGTGGAACTTACCTACACTGACTGTACAAACTACTTCTATCATCAAATTGCAAATGTTGAGGCTAGTAGCCTGAGCTTGATTTAGCACTTGGTTATTAAGCTATTTAGAAAAAAACCCAACATATTTGGATTTGGATTTATAATAATTTTCATTCAACCAAGAGGTATTTTCTGATAGAAAATGTGTTAGGCATCTATCAAAAGATGGTAAAACAAAAAAATATGTATATTCCCTTCTTTATATATGAATATATATGATTAGTTCATATATCCATTTATTTTCTGACACACTTAATCCCAAGTGGGGTTGTGATGGTTGCTTGTGATTTTTTAGAGAAGCCAATTAATCTAACAGTCATGCTTTTGGACTGTGGGAGGAAGCCAGAGTACCTGGAGGGAACCCACACATTCTCAGGGAGAACATGCAAACTCCATGCAGAAAGACCCCGGGCAGGGATTCAAACCCGCATCCTTCTCGATGCAAGGCAGCAGTGCTATCCGCCACTGAGCATTATAGCTTAGCTTATATGATAAAAGAACAAACACAAATTTCTTAACTGTTTTCTTCATATTTTTTTATGGCTGTTAGTCATATTCATTAATATATTAGCACATTCGTGTTGATCTTTAAATGCGGCTTAACTATTTCTTGAGCCCCTTTATCGAAATACAAGTTTTCATGTCAAATTCCCTTCCTTACCCTAGGGTTCCGGTTTCGAGGACCGTCTCTCCTTGGAAGGTTCTGTGGTCTTTTTGGATCAGATCAAGGCCTCTGATGCCGGGCTGTTTAGAGTCACAGACTTACAAGGATTCAACATCTCTACTGTCCAACTGGGATTAAAACGTAAGCAAGAAATGCAGCTAAACTGAAAGGTTTATGGTTATGGCTTTTAAGGTTATGACTGTTGTTTGTAAACATGCAAAGTTTTGTATTTGCATTTGTGTAGACAATAATTTCAAGTTATTATTTTCTACACAAAAACACAGGTAAAAAAAACACAATATTAAAGAGAAATACATTAAACCAGTCATGAGAAAAATAAGTATGACAGAAAGAAAGAAAGAGATATTAAGATGCGTTTTAAAGAAATAAATAACTGAAACACACAAAAACCAATACAAAATAACTGTTAAAATGCTCTTGACCTTTACAGAAAAGATTTTTAAACAATGAACCTCTAAGTTTTTATAAGGAGTTGCTTTCAAAGCTGAGCAGAATGGATATTTCATGATGGATTCGCTAATAAATCATTTCCGATAAGCAATTCTGAAAATTATGAGATCCAAAACAATACATTTCTATTAAGACCAATAAAAGCCGAAGAAATTACTTAAGGACTGTTTTAATATCATCCATCTTCCTGGTTTTGGTTCCAAACCCTGACAGCAGCATTGTAGATGAACTGAAGATGCCTGATACTTTGGCTAAGTGATAACAGAGACATAAAGCTATTTATAATCATCATACACTGCATGAGGCAACAGATGTTGTAAAACTCCATATTTCAAGCCAATGGAAATTTCTACATATTTTTTTGAATATGGGCTAAAGATATAGCCCTGAGGAACACCTCAAATGATTATTTCTTCAGTTTTCCTTTATATTGTCCCCCCCCCCAAAAAAAAAAAAACGTAGTGCTAATTTGTCAAATAAAATGGAAGCTGCAATACCATTTAGTTACAGTTATTTTTCCATGTCATCCCATATGGATGTGAATATGAGCTGTGCCAAAAGTAGAACTGAGATCCAGTAAAACAAAGACAGAAAATAGTTTTTTCTTATGTATATTGATTAGAACCTTTTAAAATTACAGTCACCCAACACTTAAACAATTTATTTTTATCTTTTTCAACAGAAAATAAATGATTTGATTAACTGTCATTTTAATTTAATACACTTTTGAAAATAGGCTTGACTGCTAAAGAGCTCAGGGCAAAGAATGGGGTTGTGTTTTTTTTTTTTTTAACAGTGTTGTCCTTCCCTGTGTCACCCTCACAGCCTACACACTGGACTCCCTTTATGTTGCCATCATTGCCCTGCTGGGCCTGTTGGCTTTCCTTCTACTGGTTTGCCTTCTGTCCTGTCTAATCAAAATTAAGAAAAGGGCCAAGAGAGCCGCTGCGCTGGAGAAACTTGCTCAGAACGCTGGCAAAGAAGATGAGGGCGAGGCCTTTAGACAGGTCTGAGAAATTATCATGTTTGACAATGAAGATTACCCCTGTACAGTTATTACATTTTATGTGTCTGTGTTGAATCTTTTTAGGTGGTCAAGAACATCACTAAACTCAGTGAGGAGTCCAAACATTCCCAAGCAGACAACACAGAGAAATCTCAAAGCACTGAGGTTGACATTAAGGTAAAAAGAAATGACACAGCCCTTCAAGCTAAGATGGAGAAATGTTAATCATGACTGAAAACCTTTTATGCTGTTCTCTACATTTAGACAGTTGCAGCTTATTCAGAACGCTGCTGCTAGAGTTCCGACTAAGATCAAGAAAATGGATCACTTCAGTCCAGGTCTCTTTGCAGTGGCTTCCTGTGCAACAAAGAATAAAAGCAATGAACGTTTTAGGGCTGAAAGATATCTTTGATCTGTTGAAATGTTTTATGAACCATTCTGACTTCTCAGGTCCTCTTGGAGTTTTCTTACTTTCCCAAAGAAAAAAAAGTGAACATGCAGATTTTCTGCCTTGCAGCAAACTCCCAGAAAACCTGAGGCCTGCCCTAACCTTCAGTTCTCCTAAGTTAAGGCTGAAAGTATTTCTGTTTGCCACTGCCTTTTATTGAGTTAAATATATTTCTACCTTGATCCAAAGCCTGCAGCCAGCCCATGCTCGGTGCACTGTAGCAGAACTTCCCGTATCCTGGTTTATGCAATTTTATCTTTTTTCTTCCTCGATTTTTTTCATATACCTGCACTGTCTGCAAGAGATGGACTCAACTCTAGTTTCTATTGGTCATGGATATTATCTCAATTTAAGGCTTTTAAAAATGTTCAAGTTTTTATTTTCTCACAGGGTGAAGCAATGGTCAATCAATTTCTAATAAAAAGGGGGTACCTATTAAAATGTATTGTGCATTTTTTCTAATAAACATTGTAACAGCCAAAATTATAGATACAGGATTAAAAATATTCATAGACCCTCACTGAAATTTGAATAAAGTTGCAGAAAAAGCCACATACATAACCCTGAAACAAGCCTCTGTTATAATTCTGAATATAAGTGAGACTGGTTTTCTAATGGAAATGGTATATTTTGTGTAAATGTTTAATTTCCCACCACTAATCCAGCTTTAAAACGGAAGTGCAGAAATGGCTTCAGTGGGTTTAGGTCTAATATAATCTATATAAGCTTTGATGTGCGTTTACGTTATTGTCCTGTTGTAAAACCTTAATGATTCTATTCTATTCACCATCAGCAAAAAACATGCCCCCCCCCCCAAGAAGAAAGAACAGTCTTGGAATAATGCACATAAGAGAAAATTACAAAATAAACACATTCAAACTGTTTGTGGCCTCTGACATTGACAAAACAAATGCATTCTGGAGAATTTTAAGCTCAAACAACACAATGATTGAGGTGTTTGGGAAAAAAACTACAAGAAGATCATTTGGTCAGGACAAAGTGAGGATTTTGAACATGGAAACACTGTAACAACTGTGAAGCATGGTGGTGGGAGCATCATGCTGTACATGTAGGGCTGTTTAGCTTCCATGAGTACTGGTACAAATAGTTTGAAATATCAAAGATGGCCAAAATTAGTTTATATAATCTTAAATCAACAGTTACCTGGATGACACTGGCACACAATTAGGTATATATATTATGTCAGTTTAATATTCTCCTTGTGTGGAACGGAGAAATTCAAATGTATGCAACTCAATCTAGTTTTAAAACAAATGCTGTTGTGTCTTTGGAAGCCTTAAAATTAGTATAATACCCATGCCTTTGATCAGTGTGTGTAAAGGCCTCACAGATGTCCAGCTAACAACCTTCACTCATTGTCTCTTTAAATGCAGGGTCTGGAGGTTTCTTCTAAAGAGGTTGGCGTCGGTAATCTAGAGACCAGTGATTCTGGCGTTGGCTTCAACACTGCGCTGCCGCTGGATACTGACACTGATGTCCCCGATCAAATCCCTGATTCTGAGGCTGTAAGCATTTCTGCTGCTCCTGAAATCAAACCAAGCCCTCCCTCTGCTGCTGAAACCAAGCCAGCTGCTCCACCAGTACCTGAAACTAAAGCAAGCCCTGTCCCCGAGCCCAAAACAGCCCCAACTCAGCCTGTAGAGGGAAAGCTGGACGCACCCAAACCACTGGATACTAAGCTTAGCCCAACCCCGAGTCCTGAGCCTGGTTTAAGTCCAGCTGACAAAATACCTGCACCCAGTCCAAGTCCAGAACCCAAGACTGGTCTGAGTCCAGCTGATCCAAAACCTGCACCTAGTCCAAGTCTGGAACCCAAGACTGGTCTGAGTCCATCTGATCCAAAACCTGCTCCTAGTCGAAGTCCAGAACCCAAGACTGGTCTGAAATCAGCTGATCTAAAGCCTGCTCTTAGTCCAAGTCCAGAACCCAAGACTGGTCTGAGTCCAGCTGATCCCAAACCTGCTCCTAGTCCAAGCCCAGAACTTAAGACTGGTCTGAGTCCAGCTGATACAAAACCTGCTCCTAGTCCAAGCCCAGAACCCAAGACTGGTCTGAGTCCAGCTGACCCTAAGCCTTCATCCAGTCCAAGTCCAGAGCCGAAGACTGCTGCTCCCATCACCACATCTCCAACACCTGAAGTTAAGAGTGCATCTGCTAGTCCAGAGCCCCCAAAACCAACCCCAGCAGAACCTATAACCAATGGTACGCCTGGACCAGATTCCAAGGCAAGTCCAGATCATGCAGATATCATCAAAGACCCGACTCCGAAAGAGGTTTCCACTAAAACCCTTGAAGTGGAGATGAAGTCCAGCAGTGTTGAACCAGAGGCCAGCAAAGATGGCACCGCACATTCGACTACAACCTGAGGATCACAGCTGCGAAAACACAAGGAACCCCCACAGATCCCTCTCTACCACCACTGCAGACAATCAAACACCACTACCAAAATGGTGAGGGAAAAACCTCAGCAAGCTGGGGAGATGATGAGGAAACAAAACCCCACAGTGAAGATAATGCTTCATTTGTCTATATCCTTTCAGACTTTCTAACTAAGACACAGTTTAAATAAAAAACATGGCTTTTAATCTTTAAGCATTTTAGTTTTTCAGCCTCATTGTCAATTAATTTTACTGGAAAAACTGCCAAACTGCAAATTAAATCATTTGCAGAGTTTACAGCTAATATATTAAAGTCACATTAGGTGTTTTATACAATACATATTTTAAAAAAAATGGTTTACGGCATTTCATCATTGCAGTATAGCACAGTTTCTTATTATCCTAGAATTAACCAGTGGCCCCTGTTCCTCTAACAGCATGTACATAAAACTGACTAAACAATGCAGGTTTTCTGCCCAACAGACCAAATGTGGACCTTATTTATACCTGTTAACGAAGTTTCCAAGATAACAAGACTTGCATAGTTAACCAAAATGTAAAAACTTAACACGGATAGTACTACTTATGATCTTAACTCCTAGTGGATTTTTCAGATAAATTAAATGCTAATCCTGCAGCCTCCAGTTATGTGGATTTTCAATTACTGCGTAAAAAATTACTGCTTACGAGAAAAGCTGTGCAAACTTCTTCACTTAACACATTCATCTTGTTTCTGCTAAACTAAATACTGGAACAAATCCCAAACAGGTGGAAGATAATTGCTTTAGGAACCATTTATTTAGGTTTTATCCAATTGGTGTGTGCTTTTACAGTTTTTTTTATATATTTTTTTCCCTTAAAAATATACACTCCTAATTTTGTCCAAATACTTGAAATCCTTAGGAGGAGGGAGTGGTGCAAAACCAATGTCTTTTCTCAGTCACATGGACTTCCTTAGATGTTTTATCTTTTACTAAATAGCATTACTGGATAAACTGAGTTTCACTCTTTCCTTTTTTTTTTTTAACATCATTAGGATTGAATGGGCCCTGCATATATATAAATCCAAATGTGACCTTGAATTGGCTCCTAATAAAACGAGTTGGAATGATCTGAACTGATTTAGGACATATGTAAATTCAATATAATATTATATAACTTAAGACATGTTTTTTTAATTAGTGCAATACAGCTGTTCTCATAGATCCTTGATGAATTTAATATTTTTTGCTATTTTAAAAAGTAATATGATTGACTACATATCATTAATGCTTTGTGGTGGACTGAATTCATTTTACAACCAACTGTATTTGCTCTTTTAAAATCTTAATGGTATTAAGAACTAGCCTCAATGACCTGAAATCATAGGTTTATACAACCTGGAGCTGCTTGGAGAAGTACAATAAAACATCCATCTAGACCACATTTTATGAGTCGAGACAATAGAAAGTGCCCCATTCTTGCTGTGTAGGGAGCATACCTGAAGTTTCCATCATGACAATGATTCAAAAGAAAAGGCCTTGTCAAGCTGCTGTTGACTAGAGCAAAAAAGGTGAGGTTCTAAGGCAGCCATCTTAGCCTCATGATCTCAGAGATTTTAAAGATACAGTTCGTAGAGTAAAGCCCTGTGACTTAAATTATTTAAAGCATTCAAGCATGGACACTTTTACCAACCAAAAACACAAGGAGCCTTATTCAAAACTACCACAAAGTAATTCAAACTGTGATTAATGTCGAAGAACAAAGAAATACATGAGGAACAGGGTTAGGTAAACTGTTGATCAGAATGATTTGGACAGTTTGTCAAGATTTAAAAGAGCAAATACTACTGTTTGTCACCCAAGCACTAAAAGAGTTTAAAAAAGGTTCTGTATTTTTATTCATATCGTCAAAAAATGGCCAAAATATCAAAAGTTATTCCAGAAAAATCAGCCACAAGTTGCACATAAATATATAACTTCCTTAAAGCTGCAGGAGTTTACTGTTTATCTGCACTTCTGATAGGTTCTAGCTTGTTGACAAATATACATTTGCAAACTTTATCAGAGAGTATGTTTGGTGGTTGAATGAAAGAACAGTGTTTCTGGCTTTATTAATAATAGTAGTTAGCAGTGCAACAGATGGAGAATCCCTCTGGAGTCCAACTTGCAGCTGAAACAAAATCCAAACAGACATCACTCCTAGAATCAAGTTTTGACTTTCAAGATAAATTGAACCAGAGCAAATATTGCTATGTTTCCTCAGGAGCAGCAAAAAACAAAACAAAAAACAGCTGCTTTTCTCTGTTAAAAGAATAGTGATTAAAGTTGGGTTGCGGTAAAAAGTTGCAAAGGGTTGATATCTTCGTTTTATATAAATCTAGACGAGTTGGTCCTGGAGGTTGTAGGCTAGTCTAAAACAGACCTTGACAAGTTCCAAAACGACTCGAGTCTTGAATACTTCAAGGTTTAAATGAATGCAAACTAAAACTATATTGCATTGATTGCATTGAGGATTGTGATTGACTTCAGAGTTGGAGGCCTGCCACAGATCTTCCTGTGTGAAACATGGGCTGGGAGAGGAATCTGCAAAGCATTAAGGTTAGAATAAATAACACTGAAAAATAAAGTGGCAAATAATCCCACAAAATCACTCAAGTTTGATACTTACAAATGTCCTTCTTTTGAACCTGAATTTCTCCGACCAGAAATGCTTTCAAAGTACCACTCTCTGTTACTGTTTCACATTGTAAAATCGCCGGCGGTGCAATGCCTCAAAGCTTTATTTACCGCGTATACGACCATCGGCTTAACTGTGAATAACCTTCCAGTGTAAATTCATCCAAGATAGTGTAAAGATTCATGGAATAATGTTTACATAAATAGTTTGACGTTTTTAAACTTTATTCATTCATTGGTAATTGAAGTCTATTTTGATCTAGGCTCCTCTCTGACTAGAGGTTAGCTCCAGTTTCTGGTATCAATTCATCCAAATTTCTTCGTGAAGACACTATCAAAGATAACTTAAGTCTCCCTTATAAAATTCTGCTCTGTCCCTTTCAAGCATGCAGTGTATACACAGACTGCATGCCTGAAAGGGGTGCAGATGGACATGCATTTATGCATATTTATGTAAACTTGGTACAGACCTCATAACCTGAAATTTAAAAAACAACAACTTTGGATTTATGAAAGCACACAAAATTATTCAAAGATTTAAAAAAAAAATCACTCAGCTGGCCTTTCTTTGTAGGTATTTATTATATGTAATTTTTTTTAAAAGCCATAAAAAAGGTGTCAGACATGATACTAAGGTACTAAGACAAAGCGTATATTTAAATAATCCAACTAAAAACTACTAATAGAACTCACTGTACGGGGCCTCTTTTCCAGCCTGGATCTGTGTGGGAACCACGATCACATGTACTGACAGTGACCTTTATATGAACACACACATGAAAAAACATGAACACAAACTGTAAATAATGCATGTGTTTGCCAGTTTAACCCCTTAACTGCTGAATGTTCCTAGTGTATAGAACACTTCTTGTCTCATGTTAAAGAAATTTAACTAATTCAGATTTCTCATCAACCTTGAATCTAATATATAAATGCTTTTACAGATATATACCACTTTTCACTGATGTCTTGATTAATGTAACATCCCAGATATTACAGTAGCTCCTTTTAGCTCAGTTATCAACTGTTATTATTGAAGTGCAACATATCTCTTATACTGTATTAAACATGCTTTGCCTAAGTCACTTTAAGCATCAACCGCAGCATGCCCGAGTCATGTTCTGAGCTTTCTATCCTCCACAAGTCGCACCTGTGTGTACCCAGAGAGTTGATGTATCACTGTTGCAGTTGTTGTGTGTGTCCGGGACCTTTTTGTTGTGTCTGCGTGCCTATGGTACGGTTTATGACGTATATATGAGCAAACGTGTGCTGAATCTATGCACTGGTGGTTTGTACAGAATGAAATGTGTACTATTTGTGCCTGTGTGTCATGTGTTTAGTATCCATGTGCCTGCCTAAAGTGTGTTTAAAATCAAAATCGTGCGATGCGTTCAGAAACACAACGGAATACTAACAAAAGAAAGTAAAGTGTGGATATTTGAACTTGTCCTTTCTTTGTTTCAGTGCCTAGGATGTTTATCAGATTGTTGGACATTGTTGTCTTCAGTCACTTCCTGGTAGTAAACAGGATGCTCACAAAAGGCAGTTTATACACACCTGAACGGACACAATGGCGCCACTTCTTTACCTTAAATCTGCTTCTGTGAGTGAGTGACAAAAGCAATGAAGAAAATGTAACTTTTTAAAATGAATATATAGCATGCAGACTGCTGATTATGTTTCCTTTTAGTAGTATGAGTTCAGGAGTGTAAGTCATTTAAAAGCTTCATGTCATTTGTTTGGTCAAATGTCATCTTGAAATTATTAGTATTGTGTAAAAAGCCTTAAAATAAATTAATATCTTACTGCAGAAGCACAATCTCACTTAATTTTATTTGATTACATTTGAGTACATTTTTGAAGGAACTGAATCAAATATTAGGATTTTTTTTTATATGGCTGGTGCCACATATATTGGTTTTTCTAAGAACTCCCTTAACTGGATTAAATGAAAAACAGATTAATTTAATCCACCAGTTCTCGCTGTCCTATTTAAATAAAAATATTACAGTTTGTATTTATGTTTACCATTCTTCAAAGATGATAAAAACTGTTCTCTAGTAAGGCAGTCTTTTTGGTTGTTCTTCATAAATTAGGACATGACTTATAGATTCAGATCCATGTTTCCAGCTGTTTTTGAGCAAACATGATAACAAACAAAGACTGATGAGTACATGTTTGCCTTGTTGCCATTAACAGTGGTGGAAAAAATCTTCAGGAAAGAGTATTGTCTTGGGATCATCAAGTCTCCTCAAAAAACACAGTAAAGATGTCAAGCAGATTGTTTAAGGCAATCCATAAAGAAAAACAAAAAAAACAATGGAGTCGTTGCTAAACTAAGTCGAAATCTTTCGTCAGATGAACATTTGTGAAAATAAAGTCTCTGTTTAGTTTTTGTATAAAACCCAAAGCAAACTGTAGTAGCTCCTCCCCACTGTTTAGTACAGTGGTGGATCTGTGATGCCATGGGCCTTTATCTCTTTCAGGCTGATTTCACACCAAATTTTTTAAGAGTGGAGGTTAATTTGTAGTGGGAATGTGTAAAGGAGGGAGAAGAAGAAGCAGAAGATGCAGAAAATTAAGATTTTACATCAAAAGATGAAAAAATAGGTGCAGGCTCACCGCTGCATTAAAACATCAAAGTAGCACTAGAGACTATTTCCCTACCGGCTTTTTATTCTCACTACTTACTTGATTGATCATTGGTGAGGAAAAGCAGCATGAATGCCCCCTCAAAGGTCCTGATAGTCTTGTTATGATGAATGCCAAAGCGTGCTTTGGCATGCACTTTAACCTCTTCTTCGTGCAGAGATGTGAGGGCCTGCTATTTAGTCATTACAGGGCACATAAGAGGCACACAGGACAAACAGCCTTGCACACAGATGACTAGTTAAGCTAAAGTTTATGTTTAAGTGTTGTAGCGTTACCCTGAGTACCCAGAGAGAACCACTGCATGCATAATGGGAATATGCAAACACCATTTAGAAAGACCCCCATCCAGGACCTTCCTGCTGCCGTGCAACACTGCATATTACTTCACCGCTATGCACCCCTTGGAGTTTTCTGGGACCTTTTTAAATTGTAATTGGGAGTCTTTAGATAGCAGAAGTAAAAACAATGGTACCAGTAATACTTAACTTAAAGTTTTCTTTAGATTTTTGCTAAATATTATGCTGCTTCAGTGAACCAGTTATTTATTTTAAGGCTACTTACTTCAGGGATGCCTCTAAATTTTAGGTCTGCTGTATGAAAGATGGAGTTCAAAAGCCTGAGCAGAAAGGGGGTGCTCATTGTTGCCTGCCTGTTTTATACTTTACTAGGATCTTACACAGGCCTTGTGTAATTAGATTAAAGTCACCACATGGTAGAGGTTATAGAAACATTCTGACTTTTAAACCCACCTCTAACCAGCCAAGAGAAACCAACACAGCTTCTCCTCAGTCTGTGCTAGTTTTGTCGGCCCTGCTGTTATGGACTCTTTGTGTTGTGGCTTTTCAACTTTGTCTCTCTGTATTCCCTTTTTGCACAAGTCTTCACACGGATGTTTTGTAATGACAAATGGTCAGTTTTCTGTTTATTTCATGACTAAATACTAAGAATAAACAAAAGATTACACCATCTACTTCTTGCTTGTCTTTGTCAGTCGTTCAGGAGGAGATTTTGGTTCCAGAGCTTTTTCTTTCTATTCTTAGTCTAATAAATCTTTTAGTACCAACTATAATTATACTTTGGGTATCACGCAGCAATCTCTCTCTTCTCATCGCCTGTGCCATGCTCTGAGCTCCCATAACCTTTCAGGGACGTGTCATAACAACATAGCAGACATATTTATATGAAGGCCAAAGGTGACATCATAAAGTTGTTTGCACCTGCCGCTGTTTTGTTTCTGTTTTCTGGTGCTTGGTTTTCTAAAGCTTAATGCTCAGCCTTTAATTATTAAATATTACAGACATATTAGTTTAATGTAGATTTGGCCACCCATTCTGCATCAAAGAATAAAATCCCAAAGGAGGCAACCTTTTTCTTTCTTATTTATTAACTAGCTTAAATACTTTCAATGATAAGGAAACAAAAAAAACACATTTTGGTTGGTGTTGAGCCATAAGACAAATAAAATAAATTTTTACTCATTCTAAGATTCGTTTTGTCCATCATTCTTCCAGCTACTAAGTCCAGCATCCTAAAGTGAGGGATTAAAGATGGTGATCGGTCCTGTGTTCTTTCCATCATCTGTGTCACATGGGTTGAAGAAGGGAAAGAGGGGAACCATGACAGTTCCAGTGGAGAAGGTGTAAATCGGCGCCATGGTAACGGCGTTGTAGAACGTCACTTCCTCCCCCTCACAGTCTAAGAAGACGCCGATGCGGATAAGACGGGCGGACACGGTGACCTTTGTGGGCTTCGGATCAGTGCATGCCAGGATAGAGCCGCCCTTCAAGGCCAACGTCCAGAGGCCGATGGAGGTTCCAGTTTCTGTCATCTCTCCTCTGGGAACATCTTCTCGTGCCACACCTAACCTCCATGCAGTTTTGTAGCCCACCTCCACTTCCCAGTAGTGCCGGCCAGTATTAAAGCCCTGCTGGCCCAGGAGACAGTAGTAGTAGTTGAACCGACGTGGGTTGGCTTGGACCCCTGATGTGTCCTTATCTTCATCGAACCAAACAGACGTGCAGGTCTGAGACAGGGATAGATTAGGGTGGGCAGTCTCCAGGTCAAACTTTACTGATGTGATATCTAAAAGAAAAATGGTTTCAGAACAATGAGATTTACTGACCTTAAATGTGTTTATATGGAATAGAGGTGTGTCTCAAAACATTGTGGTATTGTGAAAAAGTTCAATATTTTTGTCACTTATTTTAGACAGTAAAACTCATAATATGTAGATTAAAGGTACAGTGCAGGATGTTCTCTTTCTGGGTGGATCGTCAAAATAAGTGGTCCTCCTAATTGTCAATCATTCTGGTGATATTTTTACATAAGGCCGTCCTACGCGCTCGTCCCCATTTTCACTTACTGGTGGTGAGTCTGACATAGAGGAAAATTTGCAAATCTTCTTTTGGAAAGTAAGCTTGTATGATTGATACAAACAGCAACATTAAAAACAGGGCACAGATCCTCTCTGGGGGTCGGATCAGACCGGTTAGTGTCCACTCAAACACGACATGGTCACAAAACCAGCTCTCGGTTCTAGAGAGCCAACTCTATGCGGATAAAAGCGCAGCATTTTGCAGTGTGTGATGGTGCCAAGTCCAGTTGGAGAATTATACCAACATCTCCACACAGCTTGTTAGAAAGCCAGTGGACCAACACCATCAGTGTGTGGTTTGTGTTTTGTGTGTTTGTCTTCCTTCCTCCACCAGGCGGCGCCTGGTCCTGGTTCACCCCCTCACACACCTGCGGAGGGTTACCTCGTTAACGGAGAGCTCTTAAGCTGCTGACTGCCACTGCCTCTACGCCAGAGTGTTTGCCAGTTTTCAGTACTCTAGCCAAGCTGAGTTTTGCTGAGTCAAACTGAGTTTTTGTCAACCTGAGTTATAACCTCATTTTGTCTTTGCCTCTCGGCAGGAAGTCATCCTGCAACTGGATGTTTCGGACCTTCTCTCCCCTGGAAGGATCTTCTGAGAATCAAGCTGAGCTGAGGATTCAAGGGTGTGATTCTGATCAACCCATTTCCCCAAGGAATGTCTGGGGCTTCTCTCTGAGCAGGGGATTCATCTCCACAACAACCAGTTCAAGTACCGCAGGAAATCTAAGTGGCAGTCAGCTTCTCCGTTCACCTACAAACAACCGCATTCTGGGTAAACCCTGTCCGCCCTCCATCGAATGAGACACTGGAACATCCCCACACCGACTGGAGTAAAGGAGTCAACCATTTTCTGGAAACGTGAGTCTGCAATCTATTTCTCCTCTTGAAGTTCGAGAATCAAATTTCCCACTGAGCCTGAACTGACTGCAGTGTCTTCCCTCACTTTCCAGTTCCGGTTGAGCAGTGTTCAGAGCTACACTGGATTCATCACAATCTTCTCAATAAACCAGTTAAACTTTCCCCTGGTCTCTCTGTATTGGTTTTCTGCATGTGGGTCCGAGCTCTTGATAAAATCATGACAGTTGTTGTTGTTTTACTATTTTAAATTTGATCACACAACTGCTTTATTGGGTATTTCTTAGGAGGAGAAGAAAGGAAGGATATATGGACTTTATGTATTTTTAAAAGACAAAATTCTGAAAATTAGGTATGCATTTGACTCTTCCCTTCACTTTGATACCCCTAAATAAATTCCAGTGAAATAAATGTCTTTGGAAGTCTCATACTGTAATAATTATTCTCACTATCAGTCCAACTGCTCTACAAATGTCTTAGAAGTTTAAGAGCTCATTAGTGAACAAACTGCATCTTGAAAACCCATAAACACCACAAACTGGTCTGGGAGGAAGTGGTGAGGAATTTAATGCAGTGTTAGACTATAAAACAATGCTGACTTTGAATGTACCACAGACCACTGTTCAATCAATTAATCATTTAAAAAATGTTAAGTGTATATCACAACCACGAACCTACTGAGACATGGTCATATTATCTGAGCTGACAGGGAAGCTGAGGAGAAAACCAAAAAGCACCATCAGGGATGGAGAGGCATCACTGTATAGAAGTCTAAAGACATCATGCTGAACGGGGAAAAAGGTGGAGGTAGCATGATGCTCTGGGGATGCTTCTCTTCAACTGGATTGAAGTTGGTCAGAGTTGATAAGAAGATGGATGAAGCTAAATACTGGAATTACATAGCATAATTAACTCTGAGACTGAGGAAGAAGATCTCCTTCCAGGTAGACAATGGGCAAAATGTGTTTCTTTTCTGATTCCACAGAAATTGTGGATACATATCCCAAAAAGACAGCAGTAATCTGCAGCATAACAAGTTTTTTTGTTTTGTTTATCACATGAAATCCAGATTACATAGATTGAAATTGCAGGTATAGTGTGAAAAGATGCTAAATGGGTTCACATACTCTAGCAAAGAGGTGTTAACACATACTTGGGTAAAGGCAGCTTTTCATGTGTTTCCATATCCTGTATTGGATGGGACCCACAAACCAGCCTGAGCGGACCTCTGTGTCAACCTCTGCAGGAAGAATAAAGTGGACCTGAGACCTGAAAATGCAAATTAAAAGGAGAAAGGTTACAGTGGAGGACACTTAGCATAGAATGTAGTTCATTGCAAGCATACCATCAGCACACACACAGGATGAAAGGCTAAGGTATCACAGAGTACCTATTTTTACAGACAAAAGACAGTTCCAATACAAAAACAGACAGACAGACAGACATGATTTTTATATTACTAAAAGCACACTTTGAAAAAAACCTGCCTTTTTACAAGATCTTGGATTTCCTGCAATGAAAGACAAAGTTTAGAACATGATCAAAATGCATTTACTGACAAATCCACTGACCGCCTCTCTTTCTTTCCCTTTTAAATGAGAAATTGATTTGCACTTATATAATCAGACTGGTCAACTATTTAGCGGATCAATGTCAGTATCTGGTCTGGAGCCAGGAAAGTGCAGCAGAACAAATTTAATGCTTTTCTGCAGACATGAAGCTCAATCTGAAGGCTTAATCTCAACTAAAAACAGGAATAGTATGTACACATATTTACTTCTTTATTGTCTATTTATTTATCCAACTATATGTAATTCTAACATATTTATTAAGATCTGTTTAGCCACATCCCCAGTCTTCCTCACTTTGAGCAGTTTAGGACTATCCTCCTCAGTCAGCTTGCTGTTCAGCACTGTTATTGCTTTTTCCAGATCCCTTCCTTGTGCCTCTATCTTCTTCTCTCTCTCCTTCAGCTGCTTCAGCTGTTTCTGCCTCTCCCTCCTCAGCCTTTCCAGGTCTTGATTCTCCTCCTCTTCCAAGAAGCGATGGAGGTTCTGAAACTCGGCTCTGATTTCCCGTTCTAATTCTTCAAACCTGTTCTAAAAAAGATGGGAGGGTTATTAGTTATCTTAGATTTTTCTTTCAGAAGCTGAATGAAGGAGTCATAAATGACTTATTTCTTAGTGGATTTTGGGCTTCTTATATTGGTCATATTCGTTCCCACAGGTGGAATCAATTTGCTGTTATAACCTGAAATACATTCTTGTAAAATTATAGAACAATGCTCAAATGTAGTAAGAGGCAAAATTATGAACAAATGGTTTTGCCCTTTTGGACATTGAGTTTTTCAGTTTTCTACGTAATTCTGTTTTGTTGATCTTTGGTTTATTTTCCATTCAGTGGTATAGTTAAGCTGTGTTGCTTTTTTGTGTTACTTTCTGTTGCCCCCTTGTGCCTGTCTCCTTTCCCCTAGCTCCCTTCTAGTCACTTCTATCCACTCCTGCTCCATATCAGCTGATTACCTCAGTCTTTGTTCTATCTCCCATATATACTTTGTCAGTGCTGGTTTCTTGCCACTCCTCATGTGTGTTTTCCCCTGGTTTTTGGTTTCCGCTATTTTGCTCCTGTTGCCCTTTTGATTTTATTAAACCCGCAAGAACTCATCTCTGCCTCCGTCATCTCTCCAGTTGGGTCCTCAATAAACCTCTACCCACATGTTGACATTTTAGACTTCATGAGTTTGTTGCCTACATATATAATGCTTTACATTTTACAACTTAAATTTAACAACCAGCTTTATTGTATTTTGGGCAGATTGCATAACACAGAAATGACACATAATATATGAATAAATATGAGTATCTTACTTCCCATATAGAGACTAAGATATGTACCATCTCTTATTTTTGAAATAGCTCAATCACCATCTCGTTGCATTGAGTTTAGCTACAGCTTTTTTATAGGATAAAGTTATAACTATTATTCTAACTTAAGAATATGCTTTGATATAAGCAATAAAAATGTATGTTTAGCATGCTAGTCCTGCTAAAGAGTAGTGCCTTGCCACAGTAGCAGGTCTTCAGCAACCTTTAACAGTTTTTTTAGGATTGCCCCACATTTAGCTCCACCCACCTTATTGAATACCTCTCCATCCTGAACCCTACCCAATGCATTATGCTGCTGCCATTACTCTTCTGTTGATTTGTTTTGCTTCCGGTGATATGCTATAGTTTCCCACCTCATTGTGTTTTGCACTCATTATTTTGGACTTTTAGAAAAATGCAAACCCAAACTCTTTCAACTTTTTTTCTCAGCACTCCAACAGAAAAGCAGTTTTTGTGAAGTGAATAAATAAGGTTGTCCTGCAACCTTTGTCAAAGTAACAAAATATATAATGTGCCTAATGTTTTCAGAGACTATGGTTATGGAATTTTATTCTATTCAGCCAAACCTACAGGTTGTGTTGGAATAAAGGTACCTCTACTTCCAATGAGTCTATGAAAGTCTCTCTCTCTGCTTCTCTGCATTCGTCTACCTCATGTTTGATTCTTTTAATAGCCTGGACAAGCTTGGCCTGTAAAACTCACACATAGAGAGACACACAGAAGAGACAGGTTATTAGAGAAAAGGGAGTAGAAACATTTCAGATTTATTATCCTGCAAAATAAAACAGTGTTCTTCTAAAAGGTTAACAAAAATACAAGCAGATTATTAAAAAACATGCAGGCTACCTCCATCCAGCAAGAGCTAAAAAACATTAATCTTACCTTTTTCTCACAGAGAAGGCTTTTGCTGCAGTTGTTGTTTGTGTCTTTGATGTGGTTCTGGTACATTCCAGTTTTCTGAATAAGGAACAAAACTGAAGCGAAGGGACCGAGAAGAAGCTGAAATAAAAGTGAGGGAGGGAGTCAGGAGGGTAAGGCAATGTGAAGGACATTAGTACACATCAAGGAGACAGTAAGACGCATGGGGGGATTAGACAGAAACACGGATGCTGACACAATGAAAACACCAAGCAAGACAAGGACATACATCCAAGCAGAAATTTACAAGAAGAAACGCATTGACAGGCTCTGGCAATCAGGAGCAACAGTCTGACCTGTGAATATATGGATCCATTAGAAGCAAGCAGGGAGGAGGAAGAGGAGGGGCGGGGATGAGGGGGAGCTGCCGGGAGGGATTGTTGGCTGATAGGGAGAGGTTGGCAGCAGCGATTTATGGAAGCAGAAACAGATGAATCTATTTCTGTCTCCCCATGTCTTTGGAAAACAACAAGTGAGACAGCCAGCCAGTCAGAGGTTGTGTTGCGTATCAGTTGTTGTGCCTGAAAGGCAGATGATCCATGCTTATTTTTGAAAGGAGGCTCTCTAATGTCTGTAGAAGAAGGTGACGAGATCCTGGGCAGCAGCTTTATGAGCTGATCATGCAATTAGAGCTGAATAGGCATGAAAGGGCATTGCTTTTTCCATCTTTGAGAGGGAGGGACGCAAACTAAATGTACTGTTTACTGTTGTTTTCCCCTGAAGGAGTGTTATCTGTGTGTCGATAAGGCTCAAACCTGCTGTTGCCCTGTCCGCTTCTCCTGATCTCTAACTGTCCCCCTCCCCCCAACACTCACTAAAAAATAGAGGGCCTGGCTACAGGCTATTGGTATGTGAACTGAAGCAGAGTCTCTGCAAATGTTCTTCATCTATAATTCATCATTCTGAGCCCGAGTAAGTGACTGTGGCGGGCTAGGGTTAGGCTGCAAACTTGGTGCAGTACAGGATGAAGCAGATAGAGAGGACCCCTACAGGGTGGTTTTGTAAAGGAAAAAACTCTTACAGACAGGCTCAACATTATAGCTTGCTAAAAGTAAAGAGGCAAAAAATTTTTTTTACTGTATAATATATTTCATTATTAAATGTACATATTTGAACTTGACTATAAAAGGCACTTAAATAGGAAGGTTTTCCATCACTGTCTCTGGGCAGAATAGAAGGAGGAAATATGTTAAAGGCAACACAGCAAGAATACAACAAATTAAATAGCAATAAGAGGGCATGTGAAGGAGTTGGGGCTGCTCAGTGGCACAGTAGGTAGCACTGCTGCCTCGCAGCAAGAAGGTTTTGGGTTTGATTCCTGGCCCAGGGTCTTTCTGCATGGAGTTTGCATGTTCTCCACATGCATGTGTGGGTTCTCTCCAGGTACTCTGGCTTCCTTCCAAAAACATGACTGGTAGGTTAATTGGCTTCTGTAAATTCTCCTTAGGTGTGAGTGTGTGCCAGAATGGTTGTTTGTCCTGTTTGTCTCTATGTTGCCCTGTGATGGACTGGTGACCTGTCCTGGGTGTACCCCGCCTCTTGCCCGTAGACAGCTGGAAATAGGCACCAGCACCCCTCACAACCCCGCTTGGGATTAAGCATGTAAGAAAATGGATGGATGAAGGAGTTGTATGTAAGAACATCAACATATCATATATGAATACTAATACATACACAATAAAAATAAGTATTTATCTAAATATGTTAGATTATCCATTTCAAAATGTATTGCTTTAAAACTGCACCCAGTGTTCGCATTGCTCGATGTGGTGTCTCATCTTTCTCTTTACAATGCTTAATCTAGTCTAAGTGGGGGTTTCAGTTAAAGCAAATTTGGAGGTACTGAAACCTTTGGCTGTGTGGGCAGGTACCAAGTCCCAATGGAAATCATGTTCTCCATAAAGCTTGTCAGCAGAGAAAAAAGAAACATGAAGCGCTATTCAATTTCCCAGTGAACACTTGTGCTAACACTGGATTTGATCAATACTAAAGCAACAGATTACATTACTCTCAAAATCATTACTGACTTCGAAAACTTTGCACTTGATGGAAATGCAGTGATGTGTCTTGGTTCTCTTTTGATCTTGATATCTGAATTAATAAACAAACAATTAAAGTGGATCCTGGAAAAAATTGCTTTTTACACCTGTATAAATGTCCATGTCCATCACCAGAAGTTTCCTATTGTGGGACAATACAGAGATTTTCTATTCTATTCTATTCTATTCTATTCTATTCTATTCTATTCTATTCTATTCTATTCTATTCTGTTGTATTGTAATCAGTGGCGGATCTAGGGGGTGGCTACTTGGGCTGCAGCCCCGGATGTTTCCCCAAGAGCCCCGGATCTCGCTTCTGAGCAGATCAGAGTAAAATGTACAGTACTGGAATTCACCAGAGAGTGGCAGCATGTGCAGAAAAGCAGCCTGTAGCATTCCTGTGCAGAAGAAGTCCCCACTAGCTGTTGCTAAACAGACTGATGTCCCAGGTAGAGTCCTGTACGGGTCTAGTTTTACCAACCCGCACCCGCCCGAACCCGTTAGGATGACTACCGAACCCGACCCGTCACCCGCGGATATTTTCAATTCAAATCCGAACCCGGCCCGAGCCGTTGATATTTAACCCGCAACCTGACCCG